AGGTGTACGATTCCAGCAGACACTTAACCTTTTTTACAGTGTCATCAGGCTAAAAGGAATCTAATAGTGACACAGGACTTGTGCTCAGCACTCTGCCACTATTGCTTTCCTGTCACAAATAATTTATAGCCTTCTATTTCCATCCCTGAGCCTGCACCCCAGCCCTGCCTCCTGCTTTCCCCCAGCTCCCAGGAATCAATAACTTCACACAGCCACAGTGGGACTACGGGGTGCAGAGAGACGGACCCAGAGAAGGGAGACTCACAGACGGGCAGAGAGAGCCACGGGGCAGAGAGACAGAGAATGACACACAGAGGAAGGAAGGAGAGGAGGAAGAGGAAGTGGGAGAAGGAGGAGAACCAGAAGAGGAGGAAGGATTTCCTTGGCGCTTTCTTAGAATGTTGAGAGCTCCTCGGTTTCTCCATGAGTTTAGCAAACTGTTAATAGGAGACTCATTACCTGCTTTCATTCTAACTCACAGAGCTGATGAAACTGTTTTGATCTCCAGCTTGGTGGGAGGTGGAGGCCTCCTGGGAATTTAACCAAGGAAAGAGTGACTTCACCTGCCTTGTCATTTATCCTTGGAAGCACAGTCACGGCCCCCTGGCATCTACTGGGCCCCGAAGAAGCTGGGGCTCATGCTGTCTGTGGATCCCTCCCAGGGATCCTGGGCGGAGGGCCCTAGTCTGTCTCACTGAAGCACCTCTTTTGCGGTCAGGCTAAGACAACTGCTGCTATTGCTTCTTGTCTTCTCGGTGCTCTGTCGGGGGCCCCCATAGCGGTGGCACTGACCCGGCTGGACCATGTTGGCCTTCGAGGCCTCCTGCCTGCACCTGGCTCAGTCCCTAAATAGAAGGCAGCTGGTCCTGATGGCCACCCACAGGAACATGGCTACTCCTAGACGTTGTTATTATTATTAGCGCTAGCATTTACTGAGCCAAGCATCATACTAACCATCTGACATGCATTATCTTATTTAAACCTCACCACAATCCTGGGAGGTGAACAGTATTATTATCCTCTTTTACAGGTGAGGGAGTAAGAAACTGTCAGGGGTCTCATTAGAGAAAGTCCCCTGAGCTGGGACTCAGACTCAGGCAGACTGGGCCCAGAGCCCACCCCCTTCATCCCTTTACCCTAGTCACACCCTTGCCAAGTTCCTCAAGTGCCTCCTGCTGAGCTCAGGCCAAGCCAGGAAAGGTTGGGGAGGAAGGGCCCATCCCTGTGAAGGAGAACATGCTGGAAAAAGAAGTAGGGAGCAGGGGTCCTGACAGGGCCATTTTCCCATGGCAACAAGAAATGGCACTTGCTAGCTGCCTAGTAGAGACATGGGCTCCCGGACTCCCCACTGATCCCCCAAAGATCTTTACCTGCACACTTGACTTGAGGGCCAGACCCGCCTGGGGCCGTGGAGGACATGCATGTGTCTGGCTGTCTTGCAGTGCCAAGAATGAAAAAGATGGGGAGAGAATGAGGAGAAATGGGAAAGTAGTATCAGACAGTCACCCACAGCAGTCCTACACTTTTTAAGCTTTTTAAGATCTTTTTAAGCTCTGGTGATAATCCCCTGCATTGTCAGTCATGTACGGGATTCCAGGTCAGCAATCAATAACCACCAGGTATCCACGATTCCAGTTCTTAAATTTCCCCAGATCAGCTCTGGAGTCTAGCAAGTGTCCACTTCCTGGGGGGGCATGGATGGACACCAAGAAGAAGAGTAACTCACACAGGCGCCCTGCCCAGCTCCTCTCCCACGGATCCCCAAGCCGCTGTCAGGGAGTAGTGATTTTCCATCACTTGCTGCCTCGACTAAATCTACACCAGTGCCCCAGGGGTCAGAGGTTCTTGGTAACAAAGATAGAAACTCTGCAAGGCAATCCAGTTATCTGAGTCAGCCAGCCCCAGCCCTGGGGTTTCCTTAGTCCAGGGCTCACCAACCTGCAGTCCAGAGCCCCCACACAGCAGGCCCAGTGAGATCCCAGAAGATTTTGCTGCAATGAATTCAGAGTGGCTGCTCTGAGCTGCACAGCCCCCTTCTAGACTTTTCCTATAGACCATTCTCAACGGGCTTCGGCTCCTGTCTGATCTTTCCCATTGTGATTATGCTCCAAACCTTCCCCCAGCTCTAGGGAGATGAACTTGCCTTTTGCTGTGCTGAGAGAGAGGAGCTGTAAAAGCTCCTTTTCAGAGCTCTTAGCCACCTCAGAATGCACCATCTCTCTCGCCAGCTCTTCCTGCTGCCTCTCCTTGCTCTGCCTTGTTCTCTCAGTCATCTGCATCTTGCCAGGCAACTTCAGGCTCTCCCCCTAGTTCTCCCTCCTCAGCCTGCAAACGTATCCAGGTCCTTCCTACCTTAAATGGCCTTCCCTCCCCCTCAGCCGCCAGTTCCATCCACTGGTTTCCACACTTCCTCTCCTCTCCTTTCCTACAGACTTCTGAAGGCACTGGTCTACTTTCACTGCCTCCCTCTACTCCTGTTCACTCCCTAACCTCTTTCTGTCCTGTCCCAGTTGCTTTGATGAGACTGCCGTCCCCCAAATTCCCAAATCTGTGCTTCTTCTTATTCCCAGTTCCCTCCAGTCTTTACATTGTCATTGATGCTGCGAATTATACTCTCCTTTTGGAAACGTTCTTCACCATGACTTAGGTGAAATGGCCCCATCGTGGTCCTGCCATTTCCAATGTGACCAATTCTGAGCCCTCTGCGAGGTCAGGTTCTTTTCCTCAGCCTGTGAAGGTGGGTGCCCTCCAGACACCCGCTCCTTAGGTCCCTTGTCTCTATCAATACCCTTTTCCTTGACAGTCTAAGATCTGTGTCTACTGTGCCAGCTGGACACTCCCTTACCACCCCAGACACTGCAAGCCCAAGACAAAACCAGCCACCTCCCTCCCTATCCTCTCCTGACAGCGGCACAAAGCACCAGCCTGCCTTGTCCCCAGAACTGAGGGTCTTAGGGCCGTGGTTGACTCCAGCCAGTTGCTAAATCCTGATCATTCTGCTTTCACAGTGTCTTGCAGACTCTTTCCTTTCCTTCCTGAAACCTCGTGCCTGTGTGCTGCCTTACCCGGATCTCTAATTTCGAGATCACTCCCGGCTTGAGACTCACTCTAACCCTGGCTGCTGCATGTTGACAGGAGTGTGACAAAGTCACGGAGAGCACCCGTTTTAGGGACAGAGTTCTACCTCCGCCCTCACCAACAGTGTGGTCTTGACTGAGCCACTTAACCTCTGTCAGCTTTGGTTTTCAACCTGCAAAATGAGAATAGTATCTACTCGGGAGGTTGTTGGGAGAAGGAGCCGTCGTATGTATAAGTGATATAAATTGCATATAATTTGGGCACCTACTAGATGATGAACAGATGGAAAATCACTTTTACCATCATTACTTCCAAGTTTTCAGCCTTATTTCCTCTTTCTCCTTTACATACCTCTACTGCTCCTGGCTGGCCAGTCTGGGCTTTAACCCCTAAAACTAACTTGGCTTCCATGCCTTTCTCCTCCCTTCCTCCAGCACCTGCTTATAATGCTCCCACCCTACCCCGCCACAGCCGCTTTGCTCATCTTAGAACCGTAATATTTTTCCCTGGGAAGCAGCCCTTCAAGAGCCTGTAGTCCCACCTTTTTACTTTACAGCTAAAGAAACAGAGGCCCCGAGAGACCGATTGATGAGCCCCAGAGCTCTTGTGGCTGTTGAGAGGCAGAGTCAGAAGCAGGACTCAGGGCCCCTGCCAGACCACCTGCTGCCCTTTCCACTCCTCTCCCTGCCCTCCCCTCCCCTGAAGGTCTGCGTGAAGATCTACTTCCTCAGGGACTCCTTTCCCAGTCCCCCACCTGCAAGGGGCTGGGATCCTCCTCCTCCTCCTTCTAACGTTTACTCCCAGGCTCCTCGGGGCCCCTGAGCTTTCTCTGGATGTGTGTTCCCGCTCCATCCAGTTTTTCCTCTAGCACAGTGAGGCAGATGCCTTATCTCTGTTCCCGTGAGCGCTCACTTAAACCAGAGCGGGGTCTGCTCATGGCTTCTGACTCACCTGGCTGGTTTGGGTGAACTTAGCTCCCACGCTTCTGTGTAGGGAGGGGCAATGCCATGGGAGAAGCCGCTTTCAAGAGTACCTATTCGGACTAGTGGGCAGAGGGGAGCATTCCTTGGTCTTGGCATTGGTCTTCTGCATCACTGAGCCGTGGGCTCCTCAGATCACTGACAAGCAGGCTAATCCCAGCCCTGGGGTGTTTGATCCCACCCCCGCCCCCCCACCAGAGCATATAGGGTGGGTGCCAGACTTTTCAACTAGGCTAGTAAAGAAGCTGTGATCCAAGTAAGACCCCAGAAAAGCAAATCATTGGGCCAGCGAGCTGGGCAGGAGCTGGGCAGTGCATGGACACAGGAAGAAGCTTTTCAGGGCCTGGTATTTGGCGAAGGGACCATGAGCTGTGCTGGAATCCCGGGGACAGAAAGGACTACCTGTGACCCAGCCCTTTCCTGGTTATATTTTTTTAGCTCAAGACATAGGGAAATCTTACTCTGTCCCCCAACTCTAGAGGACTGTGGTACAGTCCCAATAGGAAAGCCAGTTCCAAAATGATCTCCAGACCCAGGGAGTCCTGTTCAGAGGAGCTTTGCATGTGGTCGAGGAGGGAAGGGTGGGCAACAAGCCACCAGGGCCGTCCCCACCCCCAGAAAAGGGAAGGATGCTGTGCTCCACTCACTCTGCTGCCCCAGTCCTTGCCACCGAAAATCCAGCTGCAGCTCAGACGATGCACACCGTGGGAGAGCATGCAGACGCCTCTGTCCAGCTGCACTAGGCTGGCTCTGCAGAGCCCTAGGGTGGGGGGGGGGGTATTGGCGGCTCATGCCTCACAGCAGTCAGCGAGGGGGCACAGGGAACCAAGGGATGAGGAAGGAGCTGGGAAGCTTGGGAGAGGCCCTGTGCAGGGCTGGGCCGGAGCTGGTGCTGGCAGGAGTAGGCATGTGATGTGTGATGCTGTTTTGATGCTGTTGCAGGATCATCAGGACCAAAGTTCAGCAGCCTTTCCACCCAACGCCGGATGGGGCTGGGACGGGAGTGACTGCCCCCGGCCACACCATTGGTAAGAGGGCTTAAGGAAGGGAGGAGGGGGGGCCCCACCTAGGAGAGCCAGACACTCTCTCCTGCCGCAGAACCTGCCCATCTACCTGAGGTCCCAGGCCCTCTTTCCCAACCCACACTCTTCCTGAGCTACTAGAGGTCAGGATCTCCCCAAGAGACTCACTCACCAGAACTGTTCTCTGCCTTCTGCCCACATCTCCTTGCAGCTCCTTTTCTGTCTCTGTCTCTGTCTCAATCAAGATTTTCCTTTAGCTTTTAAAAAAAATATTTATTTATTTGACAGAGAGAGACACAGTGAGAAAGGGAACATAAGCAGGGGGAACAGGAGAGGGAGAAGCAGGCTTCCCGCTGAGCAGGGAGCTTCATGAGGGGCCCGATCCCAGGACCCCGGGATTATGACCCGAGCCGAAGGCAGATGCTTACCGCCTGAGCCACCCACATGTTCCCATCCTTTAGCTTTTCCTCTCCCCCTTCCACCTCCTTCCTCATCTTTTGTTTTTATCTGATTCTGTGTCCACTTGCCTCTTTCTCTCCTATCTACCTTCTTACTGCATGTAATTTTTCAAATTATTCTTCTCTTCTCCCCACCTCTGCCTTCTCTCTTTTCCTTCCTCTCTCTGCCTTTCCCTTTCTCTGCATGTGTGGCTCTGGATCTGTTTCCCCCTCTCTGCTCTGCTCCTCATGGCCTCTTTCCTCTTAACCCGTCTCTTCTTGATCTGTCTCTCTCCCCTCCCGTCTGTACTCTGCTGCTTCAGCCTCCTTCTGTACTGATCCTTGCTCATGGCCTCTCGGAGACATGACCCAGGCCCACCGCAACCCCAGCTAATATCCCCTGCCATATAGTCTTCCCTTTGACCCAAGGGCCCTTGGTGGGGCTGTAGCCATAGATGTGGCCTGGGGCATAAGGGGCTGAAATGTGGTTCTACTTCTCCCGCTGCCCCTCTTGGCAGCTGTCCCCTTCTCTCTGGACCAGCAGGAAGTAGAGTGGCTGGTCCAAGCCCTCCTGAAGTTGGCAGGAGCTGTAGTTTCTGAGGCCATGTTACAGCGTGTGCCGGGAAGCAGGGCTGGGCCAGGCTGTACCCGAGTTGATCACTGTACAGTGAGTGTTTTCACTAACCTGTGCCCTGAGGGAGAAATGAGGAGCTTCTCAAGTGATTTCAAGTCCAGAAGCAACTGGTAGAGAGGAGCCATGGCCTCCTGGGCAATATCACGCCCATTCTTGTATCTCCTAGAGTGTCAGAGACGGAGACTAGAAAGCCACTGCCTCTGAAACAAAGTTGGTAAAGGCCGACCCAGGAGCCTAGAGACCGTGAGCTGGGGTGTGTTTAGAAGGGTCAGGCCGGCCCCAGGGGTGGCTGGCTATGCAGGGAGGCCTGCTAGGAGCTGCGCTTTCTGCAGAAACACCGAGTCACTCTTGGGATTGAGTCAGGGTTGGTGTTTCCCTCCATCCTCAGGAAGTGAGTTGAAGGGCCCAGAGGAGTCTCTGGGGTGAAGACCTGGGGCTGTAGAGCCCTGCGTTCCCCGTAAACCTCAGAGGACAAAGAGGACTATGAGCTCCCCATCCCTCTTACTGCCTCTGCCCCTCTCTGCCCCCAGCCCTGGGGCTTCGGCCTGTAATCACAGCTGTTATCCTGATGGCCTTTCCTCCTTATTCTCATCCAGTTCCCAGTACGGCCTCCCCTCCTGTTTCCAGCGCCTCCAATGATCCAGTGGGATCCTACTCCATCAATGGGATCCTGGGGATCCCTCGCTCCAATGGTGAGAAGAGGAAACGTGATGAAGGTAGGGAGGAGGGAAGAGGCTTGGCTTCCCTGTGCATGCTTTGTCCTTGGACTCGGAGCTCCGGTTTCGGCCCGGCCTCGCAGCTGCTCTGCTGTGAGATCAGTTTTAGTAGCAAGGCCCAGGTCCCCCCACTGCCCTGCTGGCTCCTGGAGAGGGAGGCAGGCTGCTGGCCATCAGCTTCACCATCTGCTCTGCAGCCTCAGTGGCCTCCTCTTCTGCTGGGACTGCCCCTAACATCCCAGCGGGGTGCAAGGGTGAGAGCATGAGCCGTGTATCTTGGGAGGTGTCAGGAAGTTGGGGGACAGCTGATCTCTGACCCAGGGATTAAAGACCAATCTGTCCTTGTTCTTACCTGATCCCAACCCATCAGAAGATGGGGGCATGACGTCACGTGCGGCTGACCCAGGTTGACACATGGATTCTGCACACCGCCCCCCTGGCCCCACTGAAACCACTCAGGGAGCTGGACATGGGCCTTCTGTACTCCGCCCTATGGGAGGAGACACCACTCAGGCTCTTGTCTGCCCCCTCCCCCCTACTCCCTGTTCCAGGTAATGCTTTAAGGTGTGGCCAAGACTGTTGGGCAGGGAGTTCAGGGGAGGGAGAAATGAAGAGGAGGAAGAGGGGAAAGGACTGGAAGAGGGAGTGGTGGCCAGGAGCTTGGGAGAAGGCGTTTTATAAATGTTGAGACATGAGTCCCTTGGTGACCATCTGATTCTCTTCCGATGAGAGAAGGGCCCATGGCACAGAGCCCACAAGCCCAGGCCGGTGGAGACACCACTGTCTGGACCCTGCTTCCTGTCCTGGTCTCATGGTCCCTGCTGGGGAAGCAGTAACCTTCTGGTCTAGGGAGGGTGTATGATTTTAAAGGTACCTCCCATGAAATAGAATCCTCTAGAGATGAACATAAAGGGGCACTGAATATCCCATTCACCAGGACGGTCCCAATTTATGCTTTTTGTCTCTGCATCTTGGCCCATTGGCATCTCTTTTTTCTCTCAAAAATGTCCTGTTTGGATAATAAATCACATGGCCATCCCAAGCATAGACAAGCCTTTGATTGGGGTAGCGTTTGAGGGTAAGGAATGGAGAAAAGGGACAAAAGTGAGATTCCCTGGGCCCAGGCTGAGGGCAAAGAGAGTGTGAAAGCCCCAGACTCCAGCGGAAGGGACGGAGCATGGGAGAGGCCTGGGTCTGGCAAGACAGTGATGACCTGGTGCTGGCCTCCTTCCAGAAGCCCTAATGGCCTCGTTTCACAGGGAAACAGCTTGTCTGGCTCTATTTCTCCTTCTTCCAAAATATCGAAACCCATTTGGCTGCCACGGCCTTTGCCACTCACTAAATTTCATTGTGGTTGTTTTGGCGGCAGCCCCTGATGGGCAGGGAGAGGCTTTCGGAAAGGCGCTAGGTCCCAGTCCTCCCTGGGGGCTTCCCACACTCCAGCCTTAGCCAGGCGCCCTGGGCACCCTGAGTGGTTTGGAAGATTCTTCCCCAGGCCCCAAGGGTTCCCCCTTTCACCACCAGCCCCTGCATTTTTTAGAGTGTGAGATATCCACCAGGCGGGGCCAGGGGAAGCCATAGGACCCCACTCCCCTGTGTACTCTTCCTTTTTGTCTGTGTTTGGGGCCAAACATGCACTGTTTCCTGGGCTCCTGTGGGCCTCCTGAGAGGAGGCCAGTGCAGGAGGCTGTGGCCACCCAGGGTTGGGCCCAGCCGCCCCAGAACAGAGCGCTCTCCTCCCTGCAACTGATCACCTTCATTGTTTCAAGTCAATTCAATTCAGTGAACCTTTCTTGTGCATCAGCGGCAAGAAAGGCTCGGCGCTGGAGGACCCCAAAGCAGAACAAGATATGATTCTTGTCCTTAAGGAGCTTACAGTCTAGTGGGGCATGTAAATCACGTGAGCCCAGAGAGCAGAAAGGCCCATCAGATAGCTGTGCTGTGATGGAGGTCTGGGCCACACGCCATGGGAACCCAGAGTCGGGAGGGAGTAGCCTGGTGGGAAGGGCTGCATTTCAAGGAGGGGCTTGAATGATGGGTCAGAGGCATGTTCAGAGACAATGGCAGTGTGAAATTCTATCTGGTAGACTGTGCTTTGCGACCAGAAGGTGCTGTGGTGGGAAGACTCACGCATGCTCTGGCAGGGCTGAAGCGGTGAGAGGAAAAGGCTGGGAGGGAAGGCTAAGGCTAAGTGCATGGGTTAGGGCCACAGGAGATCAGCCCAAGACTGGACCATGTTCTTCATTCTGCAGACATGAGTAGCCACTGTAAGTGTCTGAGCAGGAAGGGAGAAGAGCAGGGCTAGGTTTGGGAAGGCCATCCTCCGGCAGGGTGACTGTGATGGCAGCGGGGAGATAGCTCAGGAAGCAGTTGGCATCTTCTAGGTGAGGGCTAATGGGAGCTCTCGGTTTCCCCTATGGCTTAAACAACTACATCCTGGGCCCAGCCAGGGGACAAGGAGGATCTGAGGCCCTACTACTTTTGGGGTGTGGGGGGATGGTTCTCTTGCCTTGACTCCCGCTTCCTCTGGCCAACCCCAGCCCAGGTGGAGCCGCCATTTCCCTGGTAGAAGGCAGCACCTGTGAGGGAAGTCCATTCTCCCTGACCTGCCCCCGTGCCCACCCCTGGCTGCTGCACACAGTTGACCTGTCGGTGGGATCCATGTGGAAGGGAGAGGAAAGGAGAGAGCAAAGGCAGACCTTTTGCAGCTCTGCCCCCTCCCCCATCCTGGGTGCCTCCAGGCAGCCAGGCCCAGTTTGCATTAGGGAGCAGCTCAGATGATTAAGAATAGGAGAGATAATTATGTGTCAAGATGATGTAGCCCAAGTGTGCGGTCAGGCCAAGGTAGCACAGCAGCTGGCAGGCCGGTGGCAGGAGGCAGCCTCAGGCACGGGCTGCAGACACCCAGGTGTGTCCTTCAGCCACCAGGCTTGCGGCACAGGCTACAAGGAAACTGACCGGGGGGGGGGGGGGGGTGCCCTGCAGGGCACTGGCATGGGAGTGGGGATGCATGCCAAGGGACTAGACCTCCAGGGAGCAGAGGGGCCCATCTCGCTCCAGGAGGACCCCGCCGCCCCTCCCTAGGCCCCACGCGCCGTACCCCGAGGGCAAGCCGTGAGCCTTTCTGTCCTCAAGGAAACCGCTCCAGCTCCTGCCTCTGGGTACAGCTGGGCCTATTCTTCAGCTCTAACAATGTCACGGTGGTGGGCATTAGTGAGGACAATCTCTGCAGCGTGTGCTGGCATTACTGGAGACAATCTCAGCGGTAGTTATTGGTGTTCACAGTGATAATACCCAGAGCATTATTGGCATTGGCACTCGGAATATGGACGGCGTTATTAGTATCTGCAACAATCATATCTGTGGAGATATTAGTAAAGGGCCGATCAGCTGTGACTCCGGGGAAAAGGGAACTGACAGTGTCTGTGAGCCTGCCTGAGATGCCTTCTCATGCCATTGGAGGTATGGGAAAATCCCTGGACTTTCCTTTGAGACATGTGCTAGTCAAGAAGCTTTGACACTGTCCACCTACCTGAGTCCAGGATCTCCCAGAATGAGACAGGCAGATGGACCAAGGGTAGACGAGGAAGCTATGTCACAAAGCATCCAGAAGCCAGGCTCTCTCCATCAGTCGGAGAAGGTAGATCCCCAGTTAGTGCCCTGCTAAGATCCTTACCTCTTTTTGGCTATGATTTCAGTTGAGTATATTAGAGTCCCTTGAAGGGACACTGCTTCCCTGAATACTGTATGCCCTGGTTTATGTGTCTGGAAGATAGAGACTCTTGTATTTTTTCAGGCTGGAAAACCAGAGTCCTTTGCCTTCACCCAGTTGCTTTTGGCCATCGCCTAAAGCATCGCTGTCCATGCGTGTTGTTGATGCACGGAGCAATTACATAACTTGTCCAAAAATCCAAATGAAGTCATATGGCATGAGGCTGGTTATCTGTGTGAAGGAAGGTGTGTTGGTATCATCCTTTGATGTGTGGGCTTGCAGGGGGCTGTGATTTTGCATTCCATTAATTAGGTACACAATGAGTTGCGTGGTTAAGAGGTGCCCAACCCCATGCAGGGGTGTATTTGCAGACTGGGAGGGTTGCAAGGAAACGGCTCTGTCCTGTCACTGCCTTTAATAGCTCCCTTCTGCTTTGGATGTAGCCATAACTGGAAAAAGAGCCTTGTTTCCTGAGTTAGTTAAGTGTTGCTCAGGTTAGACGTGGAGCAAACGAGGGGATTTGGTGGTGGCAATGAGCAGCGCCTTCCCAGTCAAGGAGCCCTGGCTTTGGGCAAGAAGAGGCTGCAGGACCCCTGCCCAGCAAGGAGGAGGACGAGGGTGCCAGGTGGAGGCAAGCAGGCTGTCCCTGGAGTGGCGTGGCTGGGCAGTGCGGCTCAGTGGGGAAAGGTGTGTGCCCCTGGAGTGGGGCACCCCCCCGCCCCAGGGTTGGAATCCCAGTGGCTCGGGCAGATTGCTCAACCTTGATCAGCTCAGTCTTCTCTATACAATGGAGATGGCATCGCACTCACTTCAGGGAGACTGTGGAGAGGACCACACAGAAGCACGGATACAGCGTTGAGCCAACTCCATCTTGGAAGGCAGGTCGTCGTGGGTCTGCGGGGGAGGACCTAATCGGCAGGTTTATACTTTGAAGGAAAGTGAAGTCATCTCAGAATAAAACCTATTTGGGCCCACGTTCCATTCTTGGTTCAGGAAACTGACACTGGGACAAGCTCACAGGGATGGGGCCAGGGAGTGGGGGAAAGATGTCAGCCACCCGTGTGTGATCGGGAGGACCTTTGTCCATCTCTGCGTGGGCATTTGCTGTGTGGTTATCTGTGTGGGCCACGTGTCCTCTCTTAATGTCCAAAAGCATTTCAGATGCGCATAATTAAATCTAGGACCCCTTCTTTTCTAACATGGAGGCATCCCTCCCTCTCTCCATTGCTGTGCATTTCTGCTCTCACATGTAAGTGTATTTATTTAGCTAGGGAAACGTGTGCGTGTT